GCAATTAAATCTGCAGTCCATTTCCTTCTCTGATTCCTGGGTCTCCTTCTTCCTCTGCTGTTCCAGATGAATAGAGACCAATTGTTGTATCTTGGGTGGCCTCTCGCAAGCTTCTAAGACCCCAGGCACTATTCACCAAACTAGGAAGTAGAACAGAAATTCTAAAACCAACATTGGACCAATTGACGAGATAGACCCATGAAGCCACATTGTCATCATTTTATTTAAATTTATTGAAGTAAAACACATACAGGAAAATGCACAATGAGTTGTACAATGGAATGCAAACTGCCAGATGACTTTCCACAGTGGGAACACATGCATGAACCAACACCCAGGTCATGAAACAGAACATTAGCAACCCCCGAAACCCTCTAGTAATCTCTCCAGTCACCACCCCCTTGATGCGTAACTGCTATGCTGATTTGTAGAAGCATAGGTTAGTTTTGACTATTTTGGAACTTCGTATAAATGGACTCTTTTGCATATGGCTTTTTTCATTCATCATTATGTCTGTGAGAATTATCCAGTTGTTCTGTGGAGTTGTAGTTCATTCATGTGGTGTTATCATTGTGTGGCTATACCACCATTTATTTATCCCTTCTATGGTTGACAGACATTGAGTTCTTTCCACTTGTTTAACTCACTTACTTTGGTTCTGCCTTGGTGCCAATAGAGAAAAGTGGGTCACCCTCCCATGAAGGCAAACCTCCAATCTCTTCTTCCCTTCTCTATCCTAGCCTGGGGAAGCCAGTCTCCTTTTGGTTTTTTTTTCTTATCATCCAAACCTCCACTAATTCTAAGCTTCATCCTTAATGCCCTCAGGCAAGTTTTCATCTTCGATGAGACCCAGGCAACTGTTCTGGTAAAGGAGGCTTTGCAGGGAGGGATGGGTGGAGGGATGGGAGGACTCTGGCCCTGGATGAGAAGACAGGCTCCCACCCCACAGGGATATCTCTCAGGAGAAGGGGGTTCACTTTCTTCTTGTCTGCGGTGAGGTTGGAGGCAGCAGGTCCCAATGCTCTGCCAGCTCTTCTCATTTCCACCTCCACCTGTGCTGGGAGGATAAGAAAGTGCAACAGAGCTCCAGAGCATGATGACTTGTCAGTAAAATGAAGATTAGGGCCCCACCAAATCAAGCCCACTGCCGTCGAGTCAATTCCTACTCAAAGCGACCCTACAGGACAGAATAGAACTGCCCCCATAAGGTTTCTAAGGCTGTAATCTTTACAGAAGCAAATCAAAACATCTTTCTCTCGCGGAGCAGCTGGTGGGTTAGAATCACAGACCTTTCGGTTAGCGGCCTAGTGCTTAACCACTGTACTACCAGGGCTCCCGAGGATTAGGGCAGTACCTAAAAAAACCAAACCCATTGCCATCGAGTCGATTCCAACTCGTAGCGACCCTAAAGGGCAGAGTACAACTGCTCCATAGGGTTTCTAAGGCTGGAATCTTTACAGAAGCAGATTGCCACATCTTTCTCCTGAGGAGCAGCTGGTGGGTTCCAACAACTGACCTTTTGGTTAACAGCTGAGGGCTTAACCACTGTACTACCAGGGCCCTGATCTACTTACATTTAATACTTGTTAAGCACTTAGAACAGTGCCTGACATGCAGTAAGGGCTCTGGTCAACCCAGGTTCCAACCCAAACTCTGCCATGTACTTGCTGTGTGACCCTGGGCAAGTTTCTAATCTCTCCGAGCCCCAATTTCCTTATCTGTAAAATGGGAACAGCAAAATCTCCTTCAGGGTGTGGTTGTAAAAATTAAATGAGGCAACAGCCTAGGGCCTGACCCATGGTAGAGACTCAGCCAATGGTAACTTTTATGAAGAACTGTACATTGGAGTCTAAGCCCCCTCCAACTCCTCTTCACCCACCACCTAGAGATTTTGATGGATTGTGGCCTACCAATATCAAGTGTTTTTCCTACTGTTGCCAGAGAAGTAAGAAAACACAGACTTGTTAGCTAGAAAACACCGCTGATGGGGGCAGAAGTTAGGGGATTTCTAAATTTGCATAGACTTTTGGGGAAAGCAAAGGCTTTAAAATCTTTATACCTTCTGATTCAGCAATTTCACTTCTAGAATTTTATTCTAAAGAAATAACCCTTAAAATTAGACAAGTATTTATATTTTGAGATGTTCATCATAGTGCTATTTATAAGAATGACAAATGGTGTCCTAAAAGTCACCCATTGGAGATTGGTCAAGTAAATTAAGGGGCATCCACTCAGGCCATATTGTGTAGTCATTGAATATGTTTAGGAATAGTTTGTTAACATTTAGAAAATGCTTATGAAATCACATTAAATAAAAAAAGAGAAACAAACATGTACTTATGCTGTAACCACAATTACCTAAAATAAAGAAAAAAAAAAGATCAAAAGGAAGTACATTTACTCAGTGTAGGCATGATTTATGGTGGGAAAATGTTGGAAACAACCCAACTTTTCAGCTAAAGAAGTTGGGTAAACTAATTATGGAATGTCTGTATAATTAAATGCTCAGCAACTATTACAATGATGATGTATACATATATATTAATATAAAATTGTGTATAAGATGTATAGCATTAAATTTTAAAAATCAGGTAATATTTTGTTCCTAGCCAAGATGGAGTAACAGGGATTGGGTTTCCCTCTTGACTGAAAAAAAAAAATGTACAAAATATATGAAACAATGGTTTTCAGACACTGGACATCAGGTAGCCTAGGATAGTGATCCTTGGAAGAGGGAACAAAAATGAAGTGAGTCCTACTATTGCCCCAGCTTACTGCCTGGAGAGAGTTTCCAGGATGCAGCATCCAGCATGGGGGGAAGGGGGGGAGGTGCCCTGACCCAGGCAGAACCCAGCCATCTCTGTGAGCTGAGGAGATGGATCTGGGAGTCCAGGGAGGCCAAGATCACTAGAGTTCACAGAGCAGAGTACTAGAGAGGAGAAGGCTGAGCAGAAAGATCTCTAGAGATCTTTAGAGGATCTCTCTCCAGGCTTCAGCTGGGTATTGATCAATGCACACAAGTGAGGAAATTACCTAAGGGCAGGCAACAATCCCTGGAGCTCACACAGTTACTTCTCTGGTAACAGTAGGAAAAACGCTTGATGATATTGTTAGGCCACAGTAGTCTGGGTTCCCACCAGTCAGAGCAGAAGATCTCATAATTCACAGGATGCTGGGTAGAGTACTTAGAAGCTTATTGCCTTGCTTGTGGGGGAAAATTAGACCTAAACTAAAGACTGCTTTGGTCCTCCTTAACAAAGCTTAAAAGAAAACTTTGGAATAATCAGATGGTTTCCAAGTAACTTAATTTTATACCAAATCAGTGTTCAAGAATACTTATAAACCAAAAACCAAACCTGTTGCCATTGAGTTCATTCTGGCTCATAGTGACGCTATAGGACAGAGTAGAACTGCCCCATATGGTTTCCAAGGTGTGCTTGGTGGATTCGAACTGCCCACCTTTTGATTAGTAGCCATAACTCTTAACCACTACACCACCAGGGTTTACAAAAATATACAGCGTTCAATAAGGCAAAAGTCACAATGTCTGATATCTAATAAAAAATTACCAGACATGCAATGAAGCAGGTAAGTATGACAAATCAAGAGAAAAAAAATCTATCAATAGACCCAGAAATGACACAAAAGATAGAATTAATAGACAAAGACATTACAAGTTATTTTAACTTTATCTGATATTGCTATGAGTAATAAAGTTCACTGCCTCTGACCTAGAAGTCTTATGTTTTCTGCAAGCATCCATGAAACTGTAGCAGATTAACTGGGTAGCTCACAAATAGAGTAAAATCTTAGTTCTTCAGTTCTTGGTACTGTGACTTTAGGAAGAGAAACTGTGGAGATGCACATTCCCATTCATGATTGGGAGAGCTCTTTCTCTTGACTTTGTAGTTAAGAAATGTTCCTCCAGTTTACACAACCCGGAATTCCATCTTTCGGGGATCTAGTGACCTCTCTAATAGTAGATATCCATTTATCTAATTTTTTGTATACTCATGGTAGAAACCCTCTAATCTTTTACAAGTCATAGGCACCAAAACTGATAAAAATGGCTTGTTCAGGCGTGAGTTAAGTGTTGTTGGCCATGAGTTCAATGTTAATGAATCAACAATATATGTTAAATAAGATACCTTTAAACAGAAACACACATAAAACCAAGGTTATGTACTGATCAGTTGACCCAAAAAAAAGTTGTGACCAGAGGCTCACAGGAACTTAACCCTGTATTTCCCCTAGGAGCAACAGTTCAGTATTCCCTAATTTCACTAATCCATTGTTCCCGGTGGCATACATCAAAGTGTTAATGGTGCTTAATGGATTCACAGGTGATTTTTTATTGTTAAAATTTATTTGATTTTATTGCTGTTGAAAATATATACAGTAGAACATACACCAATTCAACAATTTCTACATATACAATTCATTGACATTGATTACATTCTTCAAGTTGTGCAATCACTCTCGCCCTCCTTTTCTGAATTGTTCCTCCCCATTAACATAAACTCACTGCCCCTAAGCTTTGAATCTAAATTTTCGAGTTACTGTTGTCAGTTTGATCCCATATAGATAGTTGTTTAAAAGAGCACCACGCTCAAGGTAGACATTCTTTACTAATTAAGCTAAACTGTAGCTTGTTTAAAGAAGACTTCAGGGGATATTTTTGGTTTAAGGTTTAAAGATTATCTCAGGGCTATAGTTTCAGGGTTCATCCAGCCTCCATGGCTCCAAGTTTCTGGATTCCATAAGAATATGAAATTCTCACAGGCTATTTTTAATTCTTGTTGTTTGTGTTTTCCAGATTTTTTCTACACTGAATGTGTGTAATCAGAAAGGAAAGAGGAACCAGATATTAAAAATAAAAAAATACAATTCCGCAGCACTGAAGAAGAGGAAGCGGAGGGAGCACATGGTGCCTCCAGCAGAGGTGGAGCTGGGAGGGGCAGGGCTGGGACTGCTGCATCTGCTATAATGGGCAGCCTGCAGGCAACGGTACTCCCAGCAGCTGCTTCCACTGGTCTCTGCTGGTATCATGAAACTTCCTCTATTGTGTGCGCTGCTGGTAATCACTGGTGAGTGGGGTGTCAGGACTCACTGCTGGGAAGGGAAGGAAAAATGCGGGTAGGCCCTACACCTCCCCCACCTTCCTAGACTGGGCGGCTGCTGCTCTGATGCCCTATACCAAGATTCCCCAGTCCTCCAAACCTTCCACCTCCCGCGAGGAGCCATGAGCAGCTGCCAGTCCCCTAGAACGGTGCCTTGGTCCAGAGAATTCTGGGCTGCCAAGCTGTCTGATTGTTCTGATAGGTGAGAAACTAGACGTTCAGCACCTGGGAGCCTGCTGGTGGACCCCTATGTTGCTTTGGACACAAATTACAGAAGTGGGATCCACCTCCCTCCCTCTACTCACCCCTGTCCCTTTGACTGAATAATAACAATCCTTTACATAAGCACAGCTCTCTCTATTTTTCAAACCCTTTCATTTTCATTATCTTCTTTGAATCTAGGCAGAGGGCTCTGTCGAGCATTGGTGGGGGCGCGGCGGTGGGGCAGTTTTCATTTTCTCTTTAGCAGATTAAATGTAAAAATGTGGTTGCTAGCAAACTGACATTTTGGTTTCTTAATCCATCTTGAAACACGTTATTTTTAAAAGGATTTTGCATTTTTTATTATGGTTTATGATAAAATGGAACTCCCAAACTCTTGAGAGGAACACATCTCCACGGTTACAACGAAAACTTTTAGGAGAATCATTCAACCTACAGAAATTCGTCGCTCAGATGTAAAGAGGCAGTATAATGTAGAGAGAAAATACACAGATGAACCTGCATTCAAACAGTGGCCCCACCATCTCCTGGCAGTATGACTTTGGCTAAGTCACCCAACCTTTCTATATTCTCATCTGTAAAATGAGCATAATAGCACCCCCTTTGAAGGGTTGTTATAAGGATGCTAATGAGAAAATAGAAAGTGTTTAGCAATAGTAATAGTAGTAAGCAATAGTTTAACATGTAGCACGTGCTCAAGAGATGGTAGTGATGCTGCCTCCTGCCCACCATGTCTAACACTTGGGGGCTCGGGTCCATCCCCCTTGGGGGAAGTCAAGGATGGGGAAAGCTACCAAGGCAGGAATTGCTGACAAGCCAAGCCAGTTTCCCAAAGCCACTATACCCACAGATTGAGTGCCTCAATTTCCTAAGCCTGGGTCTTCTCGCTGTTACATGTAAGAAATAAGATTGCCCAAAAGCAATCTTGCCTGGCAATAGAGAGTTGCACCATTCAGGTGTGAATTTAGTGTATTTCTGAGCCAAAATTGAAAGAGCTAAAAAAGGAAATGGGGTCCACCAAGAAATGACAAATATTCTAAGTTCAGGTCTCTGGTTGGCTCACAAGATGGACTGTAAATTCTTCTTTGCAGTTGGTTGCCTTTGGGTTCCTTATCACTAAATCCAGGAATCTAGGATGGGTTGTACATGGCTCCGGCAGGGTTCTGTCATTCATCAGCATGGTCAAAGCTAGCAAGATTTCTCTTTAACATCCCATACAGCAGGAACCACCATGTCAAACAGGAGTGGCAATGTGGGTTCCCAAACACTGAGCTTCTCTGGGGATACAACAGGTCTGCAAGCACCAGCTGCCACCCAGTCACTTTTAGTTGCAGCCCAAGGCTGCAAGGTGATTGCATTCTTTGTCCACTGCGTGAATCCTTCCCAACACCCCTCACCTGGACCTCCCCACAATGTGGGGCTGTACGAGCTCATGGGGCTCAGTCCCTGTTTACTGTTTACTTTATTTGCATGAGGACTTTTCATTCTGACATCATTTACCTGAGGGGGCTGGGGAGGGCTCCGTAACTAGGGTCACTCAAAGTGGGACCATAGTAAGCACTCAACTATTATTATATTTTTAATAGTAGTGCCAGCCCAGTCTTCCTTACACTCAGCTCCATCCAGGTGAACATTCACTGCATTCTTGAATCATCTTTTGAGGTTGAGCAAGTATATATTTCAGTCCCCTTCACTATCTTGTCTGTTTCTCCCAACTTTGCCCTTGAATTCATTGTCTTAATATATTTTTATTTCCCCTAACTTAACATAATGCATTCCTCTCTCCCAATTAAATTAACTCCCCTTATGATCAATTTTAACTAGCAGTTACTATGATTGAAATGGAAATTTCCGTGAAAAATATTGATGTTTAGATCATGTTGCCTCCCGAGAGAACCACACATGTTCTTTAATATGTGAGTTTCTTTAGGGGATGGGGGGCAGGGTAGGATGAGGGATGAGTAGGGATTCTTGTTATTATTCAGAGTGGAAAATCAATGCAGAGAGATGGAGAATGGAACCAGAATGCCGTGGGTTTCAATCCTGGTTCCTTTACCAGTCACTATGACCTTGGGCACAGTAGTAAGAGCTCAGCTGCTAACCAAAAGGTCGGCAGTTCAAATCCACCAGCCGCTTCTTGTGAACCCTATGGGGCAGTTCTACTTTGTCCTATAGGATCACTATGCATCCGAATTGACTCAACAGCAACGGGTTTGTTTTTTTTTTTTTGTTTTTTTTTTAATTGTGCTTTAGGTGAAAGTTTAAAGCTCAAGTTAATTTCTCAGACAAAAATTCATACACATATTGTTATGTGACATTAGTTGCAATCCCTATAATGTGACAGCACACTCCCCCTTTCCACCCCAGGTTTCTTGTGTCCATTCAACCAGTTCCTGTCCCTTCCTGCCTTCTCATCCTGCCTCCGGACAGGAGCTGCCCATATGGTCTCTTGTGTCTGCTTGAACTAAGAAGCACACTCTTCAGGGGTATTATTTTTATGTTTTATAGTCCAGTCTAATCTTTGTCTGACGAGCGGGCTTTGGGAATGATTTTAGTTCTGGGTTAACAGAGCATCCAGGTGCCATGGTTTCAGGGGTTCCTTCAATCTCAGTCAGACCATTAAGTTTGGTCTTTTTACTTGAATTTGAGTTCTGCTTCATACTTTTCTCCCACCCTGTCAGGGAGTCTCTGTTGTGTTCCCTGTCAGGGCAGTCATTGATGGTAGCCAGGCACTATCTAGTTCTTCTGGCCTCAGGCTGATGGAGTCTCTGGTTTCTGTGGCCCTTTCTGTCTCTTGGACTAATATTTTCCTTGTGTCTTTTGGTGTTCTTCATTCTCCTTTGCTCCCGGTGGGATGGGACCAGTGGATGAATCTTAGGTGGCTGCTTGCTAGCTTTTAAGACCCCAGATGCCATTCACCAAAGTGGGATGCAGAACATTTTCTTAATTAACTTTGTTATGCCAGTTGACCTTGATGCCCCCCAAAACCATGGTCCCAAGACCCCGGCCCCAGCTACTCTGTCCCTCAAAGTGTTTGGCTGTGTTCAGGGAACTTCTTAGCTTTTGCTTTAGTCTAGTTGTGCTGACTTCCCCTGTATTATGTGCTGTACTTCCCTCCACCTAAGAAGATTCTTGTCTACTGTCTGGTTAGTGAATTTCCCTCCCCCTCCCTCCCCACCCTGGTAACCATCAAAGAATGTTTTCTTCTGTGTTTAACCTTTTCTTGAGTTCTTATAATAGTGGTCTCATATAATATTTGTCCTTTTGTGACTGACTAATTTCACTCAGCAAAATGCCCTCCAGATTAATCCATGTTGTGAGATGTTTCTTGGATTCCTCATTGTTCTTTATCATTGCATAGTATTCCATTGTGTGTATGTACCATATTTTTTGTATCCATTCATCTGTTGATGGGCACCTAGGTTGTTTCCATCTTTTTGCTATTGTGAACAGTGCTGCAATGAACGTGGGTGTGCATATATATATATTCTTGTGACGGCTCTTATTTCTCCAGGATATATTCCAAAGTGCGAGATTGCTGGATCATAAGGAACTTCTATTTCTAGCTTTTTAAGGAAGCTTCAAATTGATTTCCAAAGTGGTTGTACCATTTTACATTCCCACCAGAAGTGCATAAGTGTTCCAGTCTCTCCACAACCTCTCCAACATTTATTATTTTGTGTTTTTTGGATTAATTCCAGTCTTGTTGGGGTGAGATGGTATCTCTTTGTAGTCTTGATTTGCATTTCTCTAATGGCTAATGATGATGAGCATTTTTTCATGTATCTGTTAGCTGCCTGAATGTCTTCTTTGTGTGAAGTGTCTGTTCATATCCTTTGCCCATTTTTTAATTGGGTTATTTGTCTTTTTGTTGTTGAGACGTTGCAGTATCTTGTACATTTTACAGATTAGACCCTGATCAGATATGTCATAGCCAAGTTTTTTTTCCCAGTCTGTAGGTTGTCTTTTTACTCTTTTGGTGAAGTCTTTTGATGAGCATAAGTGTTTGAGTTTTAGGAGCTCCCAGTTATATAGTTTCTCTTCTGATGTTTGTTCATTGTTAGTTATGGTTTGTATTCTGTTTATGCCATGTATTAGGGCTCCTAGCATTGTCCCTATTTTTTCTTCCATGATCTTAGCTTTTATATTTAGGTCTCTGATCCATTTTGAGTTAGTTTTTGTACATGGTGTGAGATATGGGTCTTGTTTCATTTTTTTGCAGATGGATATCCAGTTATACCAGCATCATTTGTTGAATTTTTTTTTTTTTTTTTTTTTTTTTAATGACCTTGGGCTGGAGGCAATGGTGGGTCAGTGGTAGAATGCTCTACTTCCATGCAGGAGACCAGAATTCTATTCCTGGCCAGTGCACACCTACCACCAACCGTCAGTGAAGGCTTTCTTGTTGCTATGATGTTGAACAGGTTTTAGAGGAGCTTCCACACTAAGACAGAGTAGGAAGAAAAGACTAGCGATCTACTTCTGAAAATCAGTCAGTGAAAACCCTGTGGATCACAATGGTCCAATCCACAACTGATTATGGGGATGGTGCGGGACCAGGCAGCATTTCGTTCTGTTGTACGTGGGGTTACCATGAGTCGGGGGCTGAATCAATGGCAGCTAACAACAACCTGACCTTGGGTATGTTACTGAGCCTCAGTTTGCTTGTCTGTAAAATGGGGATCAAAAACAGTATTCATTGTACTAATGTTGGTTTCTTAGTTTTCATAAATGTGTCACAATTATGTAAAATGATAACATTAGAAGAAACTGGTAAGGGGTACATGGGAACTCTCTGCACTATCTTTACAACGTTTTAAAAATCTAAAATTACTTCAAAATAAAAAGTTCATTTTTTAAAAATAGTATTAATCTCATGGGATGGGTTAATAAATTGATACATGAAAAACTGTAGGATAGTGCCTGGGACATGGTAAGCATGCAGTAACTATTATTATATTCTTAATAGTGGTGCCAGTCCTGCTCCACGGGCACTTGTCTGAGATTTCATCTTTTCTCCTTGTTGCTGGGCTGTTTGACAGGTGTGATTCCAACCCAGAGTGGGATCCTGAACCTGAACAAGATGATCAAACAAGTGACCGGGAAGATACCCTTCATCTCCTATTGGTTCTACGGCTGTCACTGCGGACTTGGTGGCAAAGGCCAACCCAAAGATGCCACCGACTGGTAACCCTCTACCCAGGCTCAGCCCAAGGGTAGCATTCCCACCCTGCCTTCTACCCCGGGGTCCTCTCCTTTCCATCCATTTAGTGAATATTTGTTGAGTACCAACTATGTGCTAGGAACTCTGCTGATACAGTCCTAGCCCTTCCTTTCTAGAGGGTTCCCCAGAATCTCAAAGACCACTCGCTTGCACTTTTGACCCTTAATCCTGGCATAATACAGCATCCTCCCACCCCCAACCCGCCATTACACATTAAGTTTTCTAAAAGCCCACTTCTTTTTGTCATTATTCCATTTGACCTTCACGGCAACCCCAAGAATCAGCCAGAGGAGGGCTGAGAACCAGCAAGGCCTGGGGTCACATTCCTGCTCTACCACTCCCAGGCTGTGTGACCTTGAGCAAGTGAAGTGGCTTAACCTCTCTGAGTGTCAGCTTCCTCATTTGTGAAATGAGGTTAATAAGAACACTACCCTCATAGAGGGATAATAAGGATTAAAAGAGAATGTGTATATAAAGCACACAGGGAAAGTGATGGTTCAGTGGTAGAAGTCTCCCTTTCCCTGTGGGACACCCAGGTTTGATTCTCGGCCAATGTGCCTCGCGTGCAGCCACCACCTACCCATCTGTCAGTGGAGGCTTGCGTGTTGCTATGGTGCTGAACATGTTCCAGCAGAGCTTCCAGACTAAGGGACAAACTAGGAAGAAAGATCTGGTAATCTACTTCTAAAAATCAGCCAATGAAAACCCTGTGGGTCACTCAGTCCGATCTACAGCCGATCATGTATATGGTACAGGACCAGGAATGTGTTCATTCCATTGTGCATGGAGTCACCATGAGCCAAGGGATGACTCGACAGCAGCTAACAACCATATAAAGTACATAGTAAGCACTCAATTAACATTAGCTACTATCATCATAAAGACGATTAAAATCCAGAGGGCCTTGACTTTTCCAAGGAGGGCACCTGGCTTTCTCCCCTCGGGTGGGGTCAGCCAGAGACCCAAGTTGGCCAAGGGCCTGCACAGGTGTGCTCCCTGCCTTCTCCTCCCTCCTGTCCTCTCCCTCCAGGTGCTGCAGGAACCATGACTGCTGTTACGCCAGCTTGAAGAACAGTAAATGCCGTTTCATCACTGACAATTACAGATACAACTTCTCCCACGGGAAAATCCAGTGCTGTGAGTACCCTTCCTTGGGGCTGGATCTGGAGGCCAAGAAGGGAATTCTGTTCTGGCACTTACTATGCCTCCACATGCTCATCTTTCTCATGTGCCCAGTGGCAGCAGCTGGGCTATGGAGCGGTTGTGGAGAGGTGGCCTGGGGCTTTGACCCCTTCAGGACCTGGGCGGGAACAATGCTTACTTAACATCTGCTAACCCCTATCAATGTCATCAGAGGCAGCCTGGGTGTGAAATGGATCAACTTGGATCCCAGACCCACCACCCACTAGCTCTGTGACCTTGAACATGTTGCTTAACCTCTCTGAACCTTGGTTTCCTCATCTGTAAACTCGAGATAATAACAGTATCTACCCCCTAAAGCTGTTGCAAGAACTAAAACCAGAGCAGACAGAATGAGCCTCAAAGGATGCCCGCCACATAGTGGCTACCAATATTATTATTACTGTCATCACCACTGATCCTCTAACAGCGCAGTGAGGAGGCACTGCCACTCTAGTTAGCTCCATTTTACAGACAAGACTAGAGTGGGCAAGTGTTTGCTGCAAATGACAGAGCTTGGCTGGAACCTGGGTTACTTGGTTCCCAGATCCATGTCAGTGTCCTCCACATGGAGAAAGGTAGCAGGTCCCAGGGATGGGAACTGAAAGCTCATCACAGAAGTCACTGTCGATTTTGAGCTTGTTGTTGTTGTTGTTGTTAGGTGCCATCAAGTCGGTTCTGACTCATAGTGACCCTATTAACAACAGAACAAAACACTGCCTGGTCCTGTGCCATCCTCACAGTTGTCGTTATGCTTGAGCCCATTGTTGCAGCCACTGTGTCAATCCATCTCACTGAAGGTCTTCCTCTTTTTTGCAGACCTTGTACTTTACCAAGCATGATGTCCTTCTCCAGGTACTGATCCCTCCTGACAACATGTCCAAAGTATATAAGATGTAGTCTCGCCATCCTTGCTTCTGAGGAGCATTGTGATTGTACTTATTTCAAGACAGACCCATTCGTTCTTTTGGCAGTCCATGGTATATTCAATATTCTCCGCCAACACCACAATTCAAAGGTGTCAATTCTTCTCCAGACTTCCTTATTCATTGTCCAGTTTTCACATGCATATGAGGTGATTGAAAACACCATGGCTTGGGTCAGGAGCCCCTTAGTCTTCAAGATGACATCTTTGCTTTTCAACACTTTCAAGAGGTCTTTTGCAGCAGATAAGCCCAGTGCAATGCGTCTTTTGATTTCCTGACTGCTGCTTCCATGGGTGTTGATTGTGGATCCAAGTAAAATGAAATCCTTGACAACTTCAATCTTTTCTCTGTGTATCATGATGCTGCTTATTGGTCCAGTTGTGAGGATTTTTGTTTTCTTTATGTTGAGGTGCAATCCATACTGAAGGCTGTGGTCTTTGATCTTCATCAGAAAACACTTCAAATCCTGTTCACTTTCAGCAAGCAAGGTTGTGTCATCTGCATAACACAGGTTGTTAATGAGTCTTCCTCCAATCCTGATGCCCCATTCTTCTTCATATAGTCCAGCTTCTTGGGTTATTTGCTCAGCATATAGATTGAATGGGTATGGTGAAAGGATACAACCCTGACACACAGCTTTCCTGACTTTAAACCACACAGTATCCCCTTGTTCTGTCCAAACAACTGCCTCTTGATCTATGTGCAGGTTCCTCATGAGCACAATTAAGTGTTTTGGAATTTCCATTCTTCGCAATGCTACCATAATTTGTTAAGATCCACACAGTCAAATGCCTTTTCATAGTCAATAAAACACAGGTAAACATCTTTCTGGTATTCTCTGCTTTCAACCAGAATCCATCTGACATCAGCAATGATATCCCTGGTTCCACATACTCTTCTGAATCCAGCCTGAATTTCTGGCAGTTCCCTGTTGATGTACTGCTGGAGCTGCTTTTGAATGGTCTTCAGCAAAATTTTACTTGTGTATGATATTAATGATATTGTTCCATAATTTCCGCATTCTGTTGGATTGCCTTTCTTGGGAATGGTCACAAATATGGATCTCTTCCAGTCAGTTTGCCAGGTAGCTGTCTTACAAATTTCTTGGCATAAAAGAGCAAGCACTTCCAGCACTGCGTCCATTTATTGAAACATCTTAATTGATATTCCATCAATTCCTGGAGCCTTGTTTTCGCCTATGCCTTCAGTGCAGCTTGGGCTTCTTCCTTCAGTACCATCGGTTCCTGATCATATGCTCTGTCTTGAATTGGCTGAACGTCGACCGATTCTTTTTGGTATAATAACTCTATATGCTCCTTCCATCTTTTTTTAATGCTTCCTGCGTCATTTAATATTTTCCCCATACAATCCTTCACTATTGCAACTTGAGGCTTGAATTTTTTCTTCAGTTATTTCAGCTTGAGAAATACTGAGCATGTTCTTCCCTTTTGGTTTTCTAACTCCAGGTCTTTGTACATGTCGTTATAATACTTTGTCTTCTCAAGCTGCCCCTTGAAATCTTCTGTTCAGCTCTTTTACTTCATCATTTTTCCATTTACTTTAGCTACTTGACATTCAAGAGCAAATTTCAGAGTCTCTTCTGACATCCATTTTGGTCTTTTCTTTCTTTCCTGTCTTTTTAATGACCTCTTGCTTTCTTCATGTATGATGTCCTTAATGTCATTCCACAACTCATCTGTTCTTCAGTCATTAGTGTTCAATGCATCAAATCTATTCCTGAGATGGTCTCTAAATTCAGGTGGGATATATTCAAGGTCGTACTTTAGCTCTTGTGGACTTGTTCTAATTTTCTTCAGTTTCAACTTGAACTTGCACATGAGCAACTGACAGTCTATTCTGCTGTCGGCCCCTGGCCTTGCTATGACTGATGATATTGAGCTTTTCCATCATCTCTTTCCACAGATGTAGTCGATTTGATTCCTGTGTATTCCATCTGGTGAGGTCCATGTGTATAGTTGCCATTTATGTTCGTGAAAAAAGGTATTTGCAATGAAGAAGTCATTGGTCTTGCAAAATTCTGTCATGCGATCTCCAGCATCTCTTCTATCACCAAGGCCATATTTTCCAACTACTGATCCTACTTTGTTTCCGACTTCTGCATTCCAATCACCAATAATTATCAATGGATCCTGATTGCATGTTCGATAAATTTCAGACTGGGGAAGCTGGTAAAAATCTTCAATTTATTCATCTTTGGCCTTAGTGGTTGGTGCGTAAATTTGAATAATAGTGTTAACTGGTCTTCCTTGTAGGCGTATTATCACTGACAGCGTTGTACTTCAGGATAGATCTTGAAATGTTCTTTTTGACAGTGAATGCAACGCCATTCCTCTTCAAGTTGTCATTCTTGGCATAGTAGACCATAGGATTGTCCAGTTTAAAATGGCCAATACCAGTCCATTTCAGCTCACTAATGCCTAAGATATTGATGCTTATGCATTCCATTTCATTTCTGAAGATTTCCAATTTTCCTAGATTCATGCACTGTGCATTCCATGTTCCGATTATTAATGGATGTTTGCAGCTGTTTCTTCTCATTTCGAGTCGTGCCACGTCAGCAAACGAAGGTCCCGAAAGCTTGACTCCATCCACGTCATTAAGGTCAACTCTGCTTTGAGGAGGCAGCTCTTCCCCAGTAGTCTTTTGAGTGTCTTTCAACCTGGGGGAAGCACTATATCAGACAATATTCCTCTGCTATTCATAAGGTTTTCACTGGCTATTTCTTTTCAGAAGTAGACTGCTGGGTCCTTCTTCCTAGTCTGTCTTAGTCTGGAAGCTCAGCTAAAACCTGTCTGCCATGGGTGACCCTGCTGGTATCTGAATACCGGTGGCATAGCTTCCAGCATCATAGCAACACGCAAGCCCCCACAGTACGAAGAAATAACAGACACATAGGAGGACTTAGGGCTTAGTAATAATAATTGTCTCTGGGTGGTGCAAACAGTTAATGTGCTTGGCTTCTAACCAAAAGGTTGGAAGTTTGAGTCTACCCAGAGGTGCCTCTAGAAGAAAGACCTAGAGATCTGAAAAATCAGCCATTGAAAACCATATGGAGCAGAGTTCTATTTGGACACATACAGGGTTGCCATGAGTCAGAATCAACTCAATGGCAACTGGTACTTGTAATAATAATAATGATGAGGACAATAATATCCAACATTTATTGAACACTTACTATATGCCAGGGATTATGGTAACTGCTTTGCCTTCTTAACCAAAAACCAAAACCAAACTCGTTGCCTTTTGAGTCGATTCTGACTCATAGTGACCCATAGGGCAGAGTAGAACTGCCCCATAGAGTTTTTAAGGCCATAATCTTTACAGAAGCAGACTGCCACATCTTTCTCCTGTGGAGCAGCTGGTGGATTCAAATTGCTGACCTTTTGGCTAACAACTGAGCACTTAACCACTGCTCCACCAAGGCTCCATCTTTTACTTCTTACTTTTATTTAATTCCCACAACAGCCCCTGAGGCCACCTTTATCATTATCCCCATTTTACAGATAAAGAAACTGAAGCACACCACCATCCTTCCTGCCTCAGTCTTTGCACATACTGTTCCATCTACCTGGAACACTCCCCCTTCTCCACACAGGAGGCTTTCCCAAGGGGGAGCCAACCTTTCAGAGCTCACTGAAGTGGCTCTTTGACACTGAGTCAGGGCCCACTCTGCTATGGTCTTGGAGCCCTGCATGGTGCTTTCCTTCCGCTTGGCACAGTTTGTGATATTCATTTTTGTGGTCCTCTAATACTTGCCTTCCCCCTTGGAATGTGAACCTCACCAGGAGAGGAGCCACGCCCATTTTGTTCACCCTTTTCCCCCCAGAGTCTGCCACATGGCAAGTGCTCAAAAATTACTTTTTGAATGGATGAATATGTAAATAAAGAAGCAATAGCACACATGGAGGTTCTGGTTCGTGTCCAAGGTCACACAACTAGGATTGAAGGAGCAGGGATTGAGGCCCAGGTTCATCTGCCGCTGAAGCTGAGCAAGGATGCACTGCCTTCAGAGACCCCCTAGACCCACACCTGGCTCTGCCCCAGGAAGGGGCAGAAGCTGACCTCCTTCTCTCCTTCCTTCCCACAGCAGACAAGGGGAGCTGGTGTGAGAAGCAGCTGTGTGCCTGTGACAAGGAGATGGCTTTGTGCGTGCAGAAAAACCTGGATACCTACAAGAAGAGCCTGCGTTACTACTGGCGGCCCCGCTGTCGGGGCCAGACCCCACGGTGCTAGGAGAAGTCCTCCCGCTCTGCCCTGTCTATCCCCACACACCACCCACTCCGTTCCTCCGTCATCTTGAGCTCTGGAAGCTCCACAGGATTGCTGACACCCCCACTCAGTACTTAACTGCCACCCACCAGCCTGGTTCCTTTAAAACACTCCCTGGTTGATCATAATTAATGTCACTGAACTGCACATGTAAAGGTTGTTGAAATGGCAAATGTTTTGTTACATATATATTTACCACAATTAAAAAAAAGATCAGCCAATTACACAATGTAAACTTTATTTGAATCTTGATTCAAACAAATTATAAAAATAAAAATATTTTGACATTTATTAAGCAAGTGGAAATTTGCACACTGATTAGACATACAATGATATTAAAGAATAATTGTTAATTTTGAAAAAATGCTACCTGAGAGGGTCCCAGCCCCCTACCCTACCATGCCCCTTTGACCTTCCAAATCCGGCCAACATGGAAAGCAGCTGTCTCCCCTGAGGGTGGATCAGGGTCTTAGAAAAAGCCAAAGCCAGGAGCTCAGCAGGAGCCCCCAGGGATGTTGTTCAGAGCCAATGCAGCAGGGGTGGGGGCTGGGGTCTGGAGCTGAGGGGTGCTGGGTTCTCTGGGGTGCGTGTGGCTCTGCTGCTGCTCTGTCACTGCCACCCATCAGCTCCCTGGCACCAGTCTGGCCCCCTCCAGTACACTGGAGAGCTGCAGCCTGAGTGAACTCTCAAACAGGCAGTTTTGGTCTTTGAGTGTCCTTGCCACTCTTCCTCTTAAAATCTTCCACCGTCCCCAGGATTAGGCCCCTTACAGGGTTCCGGGTTGTGGCATGGTGGCCCTGTATCCTCCTTCCCTACTAGGCTTGGGGACCCTTGTGTCGGGCCCATGACCATCCTGCACTCGGTTTCATCCCTGGCATTCCAAGCAGCACCCAGCATGGAGAGGGATCCATAAATAGCTCTCAAGTGAAGGCCTGGCCCAAGTAGCCTCCTTGCTCTGGGCACCCTGGTCCACCAGCTCATGGCCTCGAGCTCTGCAGGCATTTGCTCAGGCTGGGCCTCCTGCCAGAAATGCTCCAGTTGCCAGCTGTCTCCACAAGGGGCTAACCCTCCCCTGGCTCACCAGGGTGGAAGAGCTAAATCTCCTCTGGCTGCTTCCTGCTCCCCCGGCTCCAGGGTCTCTCTCTCCCTCCTCCGAGCTCTCACAGCGACTCACCAGGCTTTTCCTGAAATGGCTCCTGTACGGACTTCTCTGATCTCCCCTGCTAGAATGGGCTCCCTGAGCAGGAGGCCACATCTCTCCCGTCTTTGTTTCCTCCTGTCCTCCCCATCTAATAAGGATTAATGCTTATGAATTGGAAATTAGCCCCGAACAAGAACCCACAGGGCAGGAGGGTCTCACCTTGCTTGGGGACCAGCAAGGCAATGGATGGAAGGAGGTTGTAGCAGGCAATATTGGCGTCCACCCAGATCCTCTCCTGGACCAGTGCACCCATCCCCCAGCTAAGCCAGACACTGGCTGCTTAGTGCTCATAGCTGCCTTCTTTTAGTAAGGGTCGCCCTCGTCAGCTGGAGCTACCTTGCGCACCCCGCCCTTCCAGGGCCCCCTGTGGCCAATGACTGATTGAAGGGGGGTGTAACTCTCCCCCTGCATGGGTCATCTGTGTGGTACAATGCATGCTCCAGAGCCCCCTATGGGATCAGGTGGAGACTAGACTTATCCTGGAACTACTTCATTGCTTAGCGTCACCCCCTTCCCTATTCTGTCTTCCTCACCCCTTTGCAGGTTTGTTCCTAGAGCAATCCTTCAATAAATCACTTGCCTAAGGATCTTTGTCTCAGGTTCTGCTTCTAGGGAAAACAACCTAAGACAGATGGACGGTGGATTTGCCATATAAAGATCCAAAAACCGTCATTCATATACGCTTAGCTGTGTTTCCAGCAATGGGGCTGGGGCCCATGGGGCAATCTACGCTCCATCCTGTGACACACATCTGTGAAACAGCCAGCAGAGTAGCTCTCTTGTACGTAAAACTCAGTGGCTCGTGTGAGACAGCATAATAGGAATTAGGAACTATGGGTCTCTGGGTTCATATTCCAGCTACAGCACTGGCAAGCCGCATGACCTAACATGAGGAATCTCAGTCTCCCCTTAGGCAAAGTATAGGTGAAATTAGGAATCAGTGTGAGGATTAAGGTCCATGAGTGGCACAAACAGTTTGCACTCACCTACCAAAGGCTGGCCGTTCAAACTCACCCCGCAGTGCTTTGTAATAAAGATCTGGCCATCTATTTCTGCAAAGATTACAGCCAAGAAAACTCTATGGAGCAGTTCTACTCTGTAACATATGGGATTGCCATGAGTCGGAATCTACTTGATGGCAACGAGTTTGGTTTTTTTGGTTTGATGTGGATTAAATAAGATCAGTGTACATTAAGCTCTTAGCACAGTGTCTGGCACATGGTAGGTAGGTAGACAGATAGATAGATAGACAGACAGACAGGCAGGTAGAGAGAGCTGCCGTCAAGTTGACTCCGACTCGTGGTGACCTTGCGTACTACAGAACAAAATATTGCCCGCTCCTGCATCATCGTCACAATCACCAGCATGTTCAAGTTCATGTTGCAACTATTGTGCCAATCCATCTCACCATCTCCCTTGCCTTCACTGGCCCTTCACTTCACTGAACATGATGTCCCTCTCTAGCAATTTATCCCTCCTGATGACGTGTTGAAAGCAAGCAAGTTGGCCAATATTCTGTTGTGATCCATAGGGTTTTCATTGACTAATTTTGAAAGTAGATCACCAGTCCTCTCTTCCCAGTCTGTCTTAGTCTGCAAGCTCTGCTGAAACCTGTCCACCATGGGTGACCCTGCTGGCATTTGAAATAACAGTGGCATAGCTTTCAGCATCAATGCAACACACGAGCCACCACAGTAGAGCGAACTGACAGACGGGGGATTGGTGGCATGTGGTGAGCCCTCTTTAAATGTTAACTGTGTTATTAACTGTTGTTATTATGTAGTGACCAAATCTGAAGTCAACCCCAAGAGCAATCAGGAGGACACAGTTAATCAACATTTCCTTCTCTCTTCCTCTCTCACAACTGTGCAAACTGTGTATCTGTTAGAGTCTGATGCACAATGTCCATTTATTCAAGACATACCTCCAGGAGCTAATAACTCCTATTTGCCCATCTGAGCTGCAGTGTGCCAGGCACTGTGGCTTTGTGACAGCATCTCTCCTAGTACCACTGTTGGGAGGTCTTGGCATTATTATCCCCATATTATAATTGAGAAAACTGAGGCTCAGAGAGGGGACAGGAACTGCCTGAGGCCCCATAACAAGGAACAGGCAGAGCCTTGGTTCTGCCTTCTACTCTTCCTGCTCTGCTCTCTGGCACCAGTCCCATTGCAATCTGTCAGGAAGCCTCCACGTGAAAACTGTAACTTAATGGGCAATGCCAGCATTTATGATCTCAGTTGACAAGAGGTCCCGAGGCTCCAAGTTTGGCTCTCTAGCAGCTAAATGATGTTGTCAGGGCTGATTTCTTTCCTGCCCTCAGCTCTGCCCCCTCAGGGCTTTGTCATTGCCCTCAGGGCTGGCTCCCCTTCAAGATGGCAGCCATGGTTCCAGACCTAAGCCAGTACATGGTAGCTTACAGCAGAGAAGATGCCATCTCTTCCTTGTGTCTCTTCCCCATAATAAGCCCTTCCACACCACCCAGCCAACTTTACCCTCAAGACTGATTCACACACCCACCCTGAACCAGTGCTAGCCCAAGACCATGGGATTGCCCTGGTTTGTTTAGACTCATCAGATTTATTTACCTCTGAGAGGGGCCAGGGAGTCCCTGGATGGTGCAAACAGTTTGCACTCAACTACTAATCTAAAGGCTGGAGGTTCGAACTTACCTAGCAGTGCCACAGAAGAAAGGCTTGGCAATCTGCTTCCATAAAGATTACAGCCAAAAAATCCCTATGGAGCAGTTCTACTCTGTAACACATGGAGTTGCCATGAGTCATGGTCAACTCAGTGGCAACAGGTTTGGTTTCCTGGTTTTGAGAGGGGCCAGGGAGTCCCTTGGTGGTACAAACAGCTAACATGGATGGTTGCCAACTGAAAGGCTGGGGGTTTGAGTCCATCCAGAGGTGCCTCAGAAGAAAGGTCTGGTGATCTGCTTTTGAAAAATCAGCCATTGAAAGCCCTTTGGAACACAGTTTTACTCTGACACACATGCGGTCGCCATGAGTCAGAGGCAACTCAATGACAACTGTTTTTTGTTTTTTATTTTGAGAAGGGACATGTAGAATTGTTGCTGTTAACCACAGATAGTAGATTTAGGGGGTAGAGGGGTGAGCAGCCCAGGGCTGAGGACTGAAACTCACTCACAGATAAGACTGGGCTGGGTCAGGAGCAGGGGCTGTGCCTGTTGTGCTCACCTCTGTGAGCAATCTCATAGTGCAAGGTCTGGCATATAGTAGGTGATCAGTTGATATATTTATTGAATGAATGAATTTCAGCTTGGTAAAGTCATGGGACTTTGAATTAGGAGTGAGGATAGGCAGGTGGGTCTCAGGGAAGCTAGCGCTACGGGCTCCTCCCCTTGCTGGCCCCCAAGGCAAGGGGAGTCCCTCCCACCCTATGGGTTCCAACCTAGAGGGCTCATCTATGGTAATAAGAGGCACAAAGAAAAGACAGACCCATAGGGGAGCTTCCATTCTCCCCCCTCACCTCTGCAAATACCCCGCCACCATCAAGGATAGAGAAGGCACAAAGTAGGGCGCAGTCACTGTCCTGCCTGTTCCCTCCAGGTCATTGGGCTCTGCAAAGGGACACCCAGCAGAGGAGAGCCGCGCCCACTCACCTACTATCTCAACCACCTCATTCTACATTCTGCATTTTACAGCTGCAGAAACTGAAACTGGAGGGTGAGTCACTTGCTGATAAGTGTCAGGGCTGGGATTTGAACCTAGGTCTCTCTAGGGCCAGGGCCAGGGCTCCAGGGCCACATCCCACACTGCCTCCCACATTCTTTACTGGGACAGTTCATGACTCAGCCCTGGTTGTCCCTAGAGGGGACTAGCCATGCCCAGTGACAAAGAAGTGAGGGTAGGTATGGAAAAACAGGAAATTGGGAGAAAAGGTGTCAAGTAATAATCACACTGACAGTATCACACTGACAAATAGAGCCCTTGTGTTTTGGACCACTGTATCCCACACATAGCCCATCCCAACCATTAGCTGATGCAATCCTCCCAGCCCCTGAATTCAAGGTGCCACCTCCAGGAGACCCAGCCCAGGTGTAGAGTAATGGGCAGATGAGATG